ATGGAAATATCCCTTCAAGGTGTCTAAATCTAGTCACAGAGGAACTATAAGTAGTGTTGCGATGGCAGGTCAAGCTCCCTTGACCTCTTTGCTGAGGGTTTCAGTATGTAGAGCCTGTAGATGTGGAGTAACCTTTTCTATCGAGCATCATGGCTGGCACCCAACAGTCAGGGGTGAATGCACCAAGGGGGAGCTGTGAAGCAAAGCCATAATATTTTGGATTTCCTTTTTGCTGCTTCTTTACAATGGAATAATAGGACTTTTGTGGCAATAGTTTGATTTTTCTGCTTAATTTTTTTGCATTGGAGGTCTCAGGTGTGGTGTTAGGTCTTGACCTTCTTTCCTTAGCAAGATTTTTGGAAGACCTGAATTGCAGGCTATGCTGCCTCCCTCTTTCAACTGCTGTGTGAAAGATCAGTATGAAAAAATGGGCCCGCAAGGGGGCAAAGCCAGAATGCAGCCCAGGATGGGCAAAAGCCAGGGGGAGGGTTAGTAACAATATACAGAGGGTGAAGACACTGAGCCTATCCAACTACTCCAGCCATTATGAACCTATAATCTACTTCTAGTCTTATACCATGACATAACCCTGTGACTAAGATTTGTGCTACTTGGACTCTTGTGTGGAATAGCTGCGATGAGAGCTCTGGTTCAAAGAAATCCCTGGTCTAGGTGAAGTGCCAGTTAAGGACAAGGAGCCAAATTAAGCCAATGGAATGAGACCAAGGCTAAATATGGCCTAACAAGCACAAAGGGTAGATCTAGGTTGAAGCAAAAGACTTTCCCTCCCCAAAAAGTTAACAAGCAATGGTCTCAGTGATGCTTGATTGATCTTTCCAGCTCATAAACCTGCTAATGAGGACATAGGCATTTAGCCAGCTGCTAATTCACCACAAGGGAGGGCAGTTAGTGAGGTGACAAGGCAGATGTGTTGCTGCTTTCACCTCTCCTCTGACTCCCCCTTGCCATGAGCCACCAACAGTACTGCTAGTCTGATGAACAGTTTCTGAGTGCAAAGGATTAGGAGAAGGTGCTGAGGTAACTTGTATAAATAATTACAATCTTTCCCCTGCCTGCACTTCAGCCTGCATTTCTGCTTCAGCACAGGCCAGAATTCAGTTCTCTCAGGGTAGAAGAAAAAGAGGAAAAAATATTACATGGTGTTAAACAGCCAAGAGAAAATGTCCTGTAATTTCTTAAGGGACACATTTCTTCATAAGAGTTCCCACTGCTGGCTGCAAATGTTTCTTAAACAATCACTTTGCAGTAATTCTGCATGGGTTTTTCACCCCAACTCTCCCCACTTTGTTGCAGCTGCAAGAGCTCTGGCACAAGGTATGTGTCTGGGAACACACACGCATACAATCCCCCTCCAGTCTTTTCACAGAGATGCAGGCTCAGAAGCAGATGTCCATCACCAGGGTTCCTCTGAGCAGTCCCACAGTTCTCCTCCAAACTCTGAAGAGTCTCCTCAGAAGAACATTTCTTGCAGCTACCAGCAGTTCCAACTAGCCCCAGAATGCTGGATGGGTCAGTTTTTGTGGTGGATGGGTTGGTTTTCATGGTGGATGGGTCGGTTTCGACCTGGAAGGGTGTGGGCAGTGGGGTCCTGCAGGGCTCGGTCCTTGGACCGATACTCTTTAATGTCTTCATCAACTTGGATGAGGGAGTGAAGTGTACTCTGTCCAAGTTGGTGGATGACACAAAGATATGGGGAGAAGTGGACACGCCGGAGGGCAGGGAACAGCTGCAAGCAGACCTGGACAGGTTGGACAAGTGGGCAGAAAAGAACAGAATGCAGTTCAACAAGGAGAAATGCAAAGTGCTGCACCTAGGGAGGAAAAATGTCCAGCATACCTACTGCCTAGGAAATGACCTGCTGGAAGTGGAAAGGGATCTTGGAGTCCTAGTGGACTCCAAGATGAACATGAGTCGGCAGTGTGACGAAGCCATCAAAAAAGCTAATGGCACTTTATCGTGCATCAGCAGATGCATGACGAATAGGTCCAAGGAGGTGATACTTCCCCTCTATCGGGCGCTGGTCAGACCGCAGTTGGAGTACTGCGTGCAATTCTGGGCACCGCACTTCAAGAGGGATGTGGATAACCTGGAGAGGGTCCAGAGAAGGGCCACTCGTATGGTAAGGGCTTGCAGACCAAGCCCTATGAGGAGAAACTAGAGAACCTGGACCTTTTCAGCCTCCGCAAGAGAAGGTTGAGAGGCGACCTTGTGGCTGCCTATAAGTTCATCATGGGGGCACAGAAGGGAATTGGG